AAAGCGTTCATTAATCCCGTTGGGAGGGGAGAAAAACATAAGGCCATTTTAGTTTTCAAATCTTTAAATGGCCTTACTTCCAAGTATCTGAGCTCCAAATTTATTAGCAGGGATGATACAATCTCTTACTCCCTATGTGATTTTCAAACTAGCTGTTCCGCTTCCGCGCACTAATTCAGTCTTTATCATTTAACTATAGTTGCACAGTTTTATGGAATAGCCTATCTAGCGAAGTTCGTCAAACGGAATCGCTTAGTGAGTTTCAACAGCTCTTAAACAAATCCACTATCTAATTATCTAGCACGGCTTTCGTTGCTAGCTACTCATACCCTAGTGTCTCTACCTTAAATCTGGGGTGCTAACATTATTTTTCAAGCCAATCTTTCCGGTTGAAAATCCGTTGGCTAATGGTAAGAAAAGAGCGGGAACATTGGGGAACTTTGACTCCAGATAAATGGTACACGCGTCTAACGAAAGAACCGAAAAAGGGTGTGAACAATGGGTTAGTTCTTTCCGGAACTTTGCTATCGGAATATCCGGTTTTTTCGGGTAAATGGCAAATACCCGTGGGACAAGCTTAGGGGTCAACCTCCAAAATGATGCGGACATTTTGATTGTGACAAAAATGTTTTTATTGAAAGAAGAGTAACGCAAAATTCAAATTATTTCTCCTCTGCCGCGTCATCAGTGACTTCAAATGGCTTCTCAACCGGTAGTGACCCGGAGTCAGCAATCTTGACATCACTTGTTGGTCTGTCAGAATGGTTTGTCTTGCTCTTCTCGATCTTACGCACAACATCCTAGAATAACAAAGATTATTATTAACATAATAAGACGGTTTTTGTGTTTGAAGTTTGTAAGAAGAGGTCTACCCTGGGCTCCAGAGGTTCCATTTCGCTTCCTGTGGTTGTAAAAAGTGACCGCCGAAAGCGAGCACAAGGAAGCGAACTTTCTCGCGACTTCAAAACAACAAAATCAAGAGCAAGAATAAATAACTTCTGGATCCCAGGTTTGAAGAGGTCAGGCTAGGCAAATACTATGATTTTTAATCAATAAAATTTGAACCCTAAAAAAATGTAGTATTTAAGGTTTAGAAGTTTACAGGAAGGAAGGAAGGAAGGAAGGAAGGAAGGAAGGAAGGAAGCAAGGAAGGAAGAAGGGAAGGGAAAACGCTCAAAGTCATTTCATCAGTTGAAAGTATAATTTGTAAGAAAATAACACAAACGTTGCTAACTAAATGGTTTTCATTTAGAAATTGCTGTCTTAACGAAAAATATCAACATCACCTATTCTTCCATTTATTCCATGTCATTCACATTGACCAAAAAATTCCAGGCTTTTTACAGAAATTTTAATTTTCTTGGACGTGTGAACCCTTTGCACGGCATGCACTGCTTGATATGCTGTCCTCTCCCTTCACACAAGGGTGTTAAGTCTGGGTTCTTTGGTGTTGTGTGTCGTAAATGATGAATGTACAGGGGTGGGGGAAGCTAAACATCTTTGGGGGGGGCACTGAAGATTATATTTAACGCTATGTGATAATGACAATGTTTTGTTTGATTGCAGACGCATGCACCATAAAACAATGACTAAGAACCAATATTTTTGGGGGGCCAGGCCCCGCTGGTTCCGCTGCCCCTGATGTAGTGTGCATAATGAGCAAACCTCATGTAAGAGCCCTTTACAGGGAGTAATGAATGTAAAATATCTAATATACAACCCTTGTATTACTATAAGCAAAACTCTTACCATTCCACTAAGAACCTTTCCAAAGACAACATGTCTTCCATCAAGCCAGGGTGTTTTGACAGTGGTAATAAAGAATTGAGATCCATTGGTGTCTTTACCAGCATTAGCCATGCTCAGCCAACCCGCACCATAATGTTGGAGCTTAAAGTTTTCATCTGCAAATTTTTCACCATAAATACTCTTGCCTAGAGGAAATAAATACTTCAATGTCAATTATTATCACAGGGAAAATTTTAAAAAAATAAAGTTTTTTATTGAATCCTTTGAGTTTGTACTGTTTTCCCCTCACTGATCCCAGACCCTCCTGTTCCCTCTAAAGAGGGGAGTCACCATTGGCTCCATTGTCAGACCCTACTCATCAGCCAAGGGATTTTCAGTGAAATGAGTAGTGTCTGGGTATGAGAAAGAATCACCCCTGATTAAACGTGCAACAGAGATCATCATTTGCAAGAAAATGTGGTAAATTTGATAAAGAATCTTACTTATTTGAATCACTGATTTTCTTATTCAAATTCCTCAAAGATTTAAACAAAGTCATGAAGATAATTGTAAATGGTGTTAGGGGTTGCTTGCTTGTATTTTTTTCATATACCCCCCCCCCCCCCAAATATTATCATTGACAACATTCTAGTCAACAACAACAGTGATTGAATATTAACCTTATATACCCTTCATTATGTGGAAATCAATTGATATTTACCTCCAGTACCATCTCCTCTAGTGAAGTCTCCACCTATATCGACAAGACGACAAAACAATGGTTTGAATAACAATGATATCATATATATAGAGGCTGCCGGATATTACACAGTGGCGCAAAGATATTAAGTGTTGAAAATAATTCATGAGTGAGCACAAAATTTAGATATGTACATCTAGCAATTGTATGATGATACATTATTAGAATAATTCTTCTCTTAGGAGCAGGTGTAGCTCAGTTGGTTATTGCGCAGCCTTCAGAACTTCAGGTCAACAATTCGATCCTCAGGATCTTCACGCCATTTTTGATTTCTCTCTAATTAGCTTTGAAAATTTTTAAGAGAGCGCACTGATGGAGAGAGGGGGTAAAGTGCAGTGATAGCAGTTGAATTTCAACTAAAGGGACTACTGACGTTAAATATAGGTACTTTACTTTACTTCCTACAGTACCTTGGATCATAAAGTCCTGAATAACTCTGTGGAAGACACTCCCTTTGTATCCAAATCCTTTCTGCAAAAAACAAAAAAAAAAAAAAGTAATTAGAACTTAAATAACTTTACTGCCAGAAAATGGTGAATAATTCCCAACAAAATAACATTGGGAATCAGTGCCACGTTCCCAATTTTGTTCTCTCTGGGAATTGGATGGGAATTCGTTGGGAATTCAAGGAAATTTCCTACCAATTCCCAATTTGGGAATCCGGTATTTTTCCTTGTGATGTATAAACTAATGTATGAGTCAATTCCAAATTCCCCTCTGACTTGAACGTCTCTGAGAATATTGCTGAAACCGGTAAAAATGGGATACCTGTAGTAATATTAAGGAGATCTTCGAACAAGCTAATTATCAGCCATTGTAAATGTTAGGTGATTTCCATTTCAACGCACGTACTAGTAATAACTGGATGGTAATGTTTATACTATGGGGCGCCGATCGAGTCAATATTCTCATCTTTTATTTCATGGCTTATTGTATTTTTATTGTGGTTTTTGAATTTGCTTTTATGGTGATTATATTTAATTTTTGGTGGGACTGAATTTGCTTTTGAAGCACCCGAATTTACTTTTATGGTCATTTGTTTAATCTTTGGCAATCGAATTAATATATTCTAATGCAGGATTTTTTAAATTCTAATCTGAATTTATTTATGGTCTTTGGATTTTTAACATGCTAATTATGATGCATTGCGAGTTTCGATTTGACCGAGTGAGAGACTGGTTGTCAAAACAAGATGGTGGAGCAAGTCGCTCGGCATTTTCCTGCTTTTTGGGAACTTTGATCGAAAAAATAATAATGAAATCGCAATACAATCAAGTAATTTTTAGCGATTATATGATCTTAAGGGTTAAAACTATCATATTAAACAAAAAACAGCGAACTCTGATATGCACTTTAAGTGAACAGTCAGAGTTGATATTTAACTTGGAAAGGTGGTGAATGAGTAACGGAGTCGGACGGTCCGAAGAGAGAGAGAAACGAATGTGGATTGTTTACCTGCAGCAAGATGTTGTACATCCGCGTTTGAAATATTTTTGAAAGCTTTTAAAGCTTTTGCTGCCCTTCGACATGCTATAAAATATGAAGAAAATTCCGGATGTGACGCAGGCTAACATGCTAAAGAAAAGGGGTTTTCCTTTTGCTCCGCCATCTTGTTTTGACAACCAGTCTCTCACTCAGTCAAATCGAAGCTCGCAATGCATCATAATTAGCATGTTAAAATTAAAATCCAAAGACCATAAATAAATTCAGATCAGAATAAAAAAAATCCTGCATTAGAATATATTAATTCGATTGTCAAAGATTAAACAAATGACCATAAAAGTGAATTCGTGTGCTTCAAAAGCAAATTCAGTCCCACCAAAAATTAAATATAATCACCATAAAAGCAAATTCAAAGACCACAATAAAAATACAATAAGCCATAAAATAAATGATGAGAATATTGACTGGATCGGCGCCCCATATGTATGAATAAAGGACGTACTATACAAGTCATTATGGTTTAGCTAGGGCTGGGTAATGAATTTTGGTTTTAAACAAAAGTTATTCTTTATGCACGTGTCAACTTTTGCATTTATGATTTCTTGAGCCAAAAGTAATAATTCAAAAAAGTATGCGTTACGTCTAAGAAAAAGCTTATATAGTTAAAGTAAAATTAAATAGTTAGCTGTGAATTAATGATTATTAAGAATGCAAATACTTGCCTCGTGTGTCGCCAATTGATAGAAATTTTCCGCAGTTTTTGGCACGGTTTTACCAAACAGTCCTATTACGATTCTTCCTGCTTCCTTCCCACCAATAGTGATGTCGAAAAATACCTTCTTAGTGACAACAGTACCTTTAGAGGCATTCACTGCCACTAAAAATAGGGCAAAAACGCTAAGGAAAGCTAAAAAATTCATCTTTTTTACCTGGCTTTTAGTTACATGTAGAGAGAAAGAACTTKAGAGATTTGCTCTGGTCTATGAATAGCCTTCATCATTTTCATACAACCAATCAAATCACTGCTTTAGAGTTTTYTGACCAATCACGTGCAGACACGCTGAACGAGTACGCAAAACCATTTAAAAAGCACACATGTGAAAGTAATAATAACTTAAGAAGTTTAAAAAGTTTTTTATCTAATGTATATAAACATAGGTTAAAGTATAGTTGATTCTAAATTAAAAATAAAAATCGTATTTGTAGGATCATCGCTGGGTAGGGGCCGTGGAACGAGGTTGCGGTCTCCCTGTGCCTTTAAAAACTTGCAGACCACTTCCTTTTGAAAATTTCCTACTTCCGGTACAGCGCGCATGGATTCCTGGGTAAGCAGTCTATAATAAAGAGTATATTGTTGTCCTCGTGAATGAGGAGTATTTAAAGCTGGTGTATGGTTTCAAGGCGTATGTTGCCTACAGGATCGCTCCTGAAAATCATGAAAACCTTAACTGTAGTCGGGATTGTGGTAGGGATTATCGTGTTTCTTCTTCGTCCTAATGAATCTGTTGCCAAGACAAAGAAAGGCCCTTTGGTAACTTCCAAGGTGAGCTTTATAATTGATTATAATATGTATAAATTGTCTTTAAAAAAATACTGCTTTTAGTACTAATAGGTGATAAGATAATTTAGGTATAATATATTTTGAAGGCTAAAAGAATATTTATATGGCTCTACTATGAATATTTACTCTCAACCATTATTTGACATGTTTTTATGTAAGTCTTAACTTATATTCTACACTGCATGAAGAAGTTTTAAAATTTTTTTTAGTTGTACACGTGTGCTCTCATTCTGTTACACATTCCATTAGGCATTGCACCGGATCATATTACACCGTCTACTAGTTTTAGTATGTGGACCAAGTAACGTTGTTTACCAGTTGATTCATGATTTTACCTGTAAATACAGTCAAATTATTCTTATCCTTAATATTCTTTGAAGAAAAAGGTAAGGTCTGCAAATTAAGTGACACAGTTTTCTCACTTTCTGATTGGTTGAAAGCTGTGGTTAATAAGAGGAAATACCAACAAATTAGGCCAACAACTAATGAATGGCTTGTGCATTTGAGAGCCAGCGCACAATTGATATTGTTTCCTTTCAAGCTTTTTCCTTGATTTTTTTTGAAATAGTGATTCAATGGTTGATGTCAAACAGTGGTAAAATAAGAGGACATACCACTGCATGCAAAACCATCCAAAATTAGTTAACTTTCTGATGGTTTAGCATGATATATCCTATTATTTACAATGACGTCATGAGAGTTTCCTACACGTATGTATACAGTAATGATGAAAAGGTAAATTATACACCGTGAAAAGATGAAAAAACTTACTGACGTTTCGGACGCTAGTCCTTCGTTGGAGTAAAAAAGAAAGAAGTAGTAGGAAGGAGTGTATATATGATTGAATAAGACAAGAGAAACCAATGAGAGCAAGGTAGGCATACTTGAGTTGTGGCTGATGACTATATCTAGGGCTACATTCAACAACAAATTTAATAGGGGTGTCCAGTCGACCATTTTGCACCCCTTTTATTAATCCTAAACAGTGCACCTGATAAAGTGAGGAGAAAAAAGCCTGAAAATACTGAGCAAAAGTGTGGTAATTTATGGTAATAGTACAGAAATTTTAATTGCTGCGAGCCATCAGGCAAGCAGCAACACTAATCATGCATTGGTGATCTTCCTGTGTTGCAGATGCTAGCTAAAATCTCGGTTTGAGAAATTTTGTGTCGATTTCATTGCCTTTTAATTTGGTAGGTCTTCTTTGATGTTTCTATTGGTGGGAAGCCTGCTGGAAGAATTGTGATTGGTCTGTTTGGCAAGACTGTTCCTAAAACTGCTAGAAATTTTGAGGTTCTTGCTACTGGAGAGGTACAAAATAATATTAACAATATTAAAGATTATATATTTTATGTAATCAAACCGTAAAATTTGAACATTATAAAACGTTTTTTAAAATTATAATTACTGTAGCACTGCCAAAGGCGAGAATAAGTAGGGGGGTTTGGGGGTATGTATAACCCCTCCCAAATAACTTGAAATTGAGGCCCTCAGAAATGTTATTTTGATTATTTTGAGTCCATGCATTTGCACCATATTTATTGCATTAAAGTTTTTATGTCTCTGATCTAATATTTTTGTGTTCTTGTAACCCCCCCTCCCCTCTCTACTCCGTGCCCTGTAAATGCTCTATAGACCTCCAGCTTACTATAGAGCCTCTTGGTGGGAAATTGCCACGATATAATGAATATAACATATGTAGTAATTTGAATCATGCATTATTTTAAGTTAATACATGTACTTTAATATTATTTTTGGTTTTCAACAGAAAGGGTTTGGTTACAAAGGAAGCATCTTTCATAGAGTAATCAAGGATTTTATGATTCAAGGTTAGTGCTGTGATTCTAATTAATGATTACACCTTTACATAGCCCAAATGGTCCATGATGCAATAGCTCATATAAGGGGCTGGAGGGTGAATGGGTTGAATCTTACACCATGAAGGCAAAAATTGAATGTAAGGGTTTCAGATTAAACTCTTACATGTAGATTTGATAAAGCATGACGGTAATACTATGGCACTAAGGGATATTAGTAATTAAATGTCCCTAACCTGAGGGAAGGTTAGTGAGAAGTGTTGAGAACCAAACTTCCCTATGTATCCTTCTTCTCCTAATGCTTCTCTTGTGTTCTGCCTATCCCAGCATGCTACATGACCACACAATGCCTGTTTCTTCACTACGATAATACAGGCTGTATGTCCTACAATTGCACTGGTTTACATGCATTTCATTGCAGACCATGCACCTATTATGTCCATGCATTTTTAAAAATCCTTGATTCTGAGCCAATACGTGCAGCCAGCAAGTACTGTATTTATAAACTAATAACAGATTTCAATTTCTGTGCTCTTTTTAAATTAGGAGGTGACTTTGTCAATCGGGATGGAACTGGAGGTAAAATAATAATTCTTTGYCTTAATTATGCAATATTATACATGTAATTATTATACATGTAATATCCAGTCATACTAGCTCAGAACAGCTCCAGGCTTTCTCCTGAAATTTTTTTTATTGCACGATTTAAGACTTGGCAAAATACTGCAGACTTGAAAAGATAATTATTCATGTATATGTTTATTGAATTGATTATATTCAGCATAGCGATCCCAAATATAAAGAATTGAAAGTAGATTGACTCATGCACCTTTTCCATTTCCCCCATCTGTACCTCCCTTATTCATTCCATCCATCCTTTAAGTCACCCACCACCTATTACCCACCCAATAATTAAATGTATCCATCCATGCATCCATCCATGCATCCATCCATGCATCCATGCATCCATCCATGCATCCATCC